TATGAATTCTCTTAGTGATAGTCATTGGGATGCAGTTGTCCGCATCCTTCGGTATTGTTAGTTTCATTGTACGAATAGTAGTAAATAACCCTAATCCCATACGTATTAGGAGTAAGACATGTATTGTATATATATGGCTCATTGTATCATTGTCAATTAATCAATAATATATTTTCTCCCGTGCATTCTCGCATGGTATCAGAGCTTCAGTGAGAAAATTATAGCTGTGCGTCATTCCAGCAACTTCCGGGAAGAAAGACCTCGTCGCCGTGCAATTTTCCGGTGACTTAGGAGGTTGTCCGTAACAAAATCACTTTCCGTTGGTGTTGTGCAAAAACCAACACCACCACAGGGTTCCCAAGGTTCCGGCGACTACAGTGATTTTTCCAGCAGCTACAGTGATTTTTCCGGTGTGAACAGTGATCCCCAGAAAATTTCTGACCTTTTCCGGCGTGAACATTATAATGTCATTCTTAGAAGCCTTAGACTCACAATTCGTTGGATTGAATGCATTAAATCCAATCCAGATGGTTTCTTTACTGGATTATATTGAGTTCCTTCAATACAAAGCACGTAAACAGACATCTTCAGGATTAGCCTCCGTTGTTCCAACAAATAGTAGCATGACTGGTGTCTCCCAATCTTCACCTTCTGAGTCTTGGGTCATTGATTCAGGTGCATGTGATCATATTTCTGGTAACAAATCTCTTTTCACTAGTATCTCATATTCTCAATCTCTTCCAACAGTCACAATGGCCAATGAGTCTCAAGCCATGGCAACTGCAATAGGTCAAGCAAGTCCACTTCCTTCCTTACCTTTAGACTCAGTTCTTTATGTTCCTGGTAGTCCTTTTAATCTCATAGCCGTTAGTCGCTTAGCCAAATCACTTAAATCTGCTGTTCTATTCCTTGATGACCTTGTTTTTATACAGGAACGTAGTACGGGGCGGATCATTGGTACCGGACGTGAATCAGATGGACTTTATTACCTTATCCTTGCAAAATCACATGGACTCGCATCTTGTCTTCCTCCAATAACTTGTCCCGTTACAGATTCACCAGATTTATTACATAAACGGTTAGGACATCCCAGTTTGCCAAAACTTCAGAAAATGGTACCTGGCTTATCTCACTTGTCCACTCTAGAGTGTGAGTCGTGTCAGCTCGGTAAGCATACCCGCTCCCATTTCCCGGGGCGTCTTGATAATCGAGCAGAGTCACCTTTTACTTTAGTCCATTCAGATGTTTGGGGTCCTAGTCGGGTTAGTTCTACCTTAGGATTTCGCTACTTTGTCAGTTTCATTGATGATTATTCCAGGTGCACTTGGATATTTTTGATGAAAAATCGATCTGAGTTGTTTTCTATTTTCCAGACCTTCCACGCTGAAATTCAAAATCAATTTGGGGTTTCTATCCGCACATTTCGTAGTGATAATGCCCTAGAGTATTTGTCTTCCCCATTTCAGCAGTTTATGAACTCCCATGGGATTATTCATCAAACATATTGTCCGTACACATCCCAACAAAATGGGGTAGCTGAAAGAAAGAATAGACATCTTATTGAAACTGCTCGTACCCTACTCATACAATCTCATGTTCCGCTGCGTTTTTGGGGGGGGATGCAGTTCTTACATCTTGTTATCTTATTAATCGTATGCCATCTTCAGCTATCGAAAATCAAGTTCCATTTTCTGTCCTGTTTCCTCACTTACCTTTGTTCTCTCTTCCACCCTGTGTCTTTGAGAGTACGTGCTTTGTTCATGACCTTACTCCAGGAAAAGATAAGTTAGCTCCTCGTGCTCTTAAGTGCATATTTCTGGGTTACTCGAGAACGCAAAAGGGATATCGATGTTATTCTCCTGACCTTCAGCGATTTCTTATGTCTGCTGATGTTACCTTCTTTGAAACCCAATCATACTTCACAGGTCCAGTTAATCACTTAGATATTTCTGAGGTGCTACCCGTTCCTTCTTTTGGAGATTCAGTCCCTATCTCCCATTCATCTTCCTCCATAGCTCCACCGCCTACCTATAGCTCCAGTGCCACCGCCTAGTCCGGTTCAACCTTCTACAGCTCCACCACTCCTGACTTATCATCGTCGTCCGCCCCCAGCATCAGGCCCAGCTGATTCACGTCCTGCACCTGACCTTGCTAATACTGCGGACTTGTCTCCTCTTAATCAACCGATTGCACTACGAAAAGGTATACGGTCCACACTTAATCCTAATCCTCATTATATCGGTTTAAGTTACCATCGTCTCTCATCATCCCATTGTGCATTTGTGTCATCTTTGTCCTCTGTTTCCATCCCTAAGTCTACAGGTGAAGCACTGTCTCATCCCGGATGGAGACAGGCTATGATTGACGAGATGTCTGTTTTACATACGAGTGGTACTTGGGAGCTTGTTCCTCTTCCTTCGGGTAAATCGACTGTTGGTTGTTGTTGGGTGTATGCAGTCGAAGTTGGTCCAGATGGCCAGGTTGATCGACTTAAGGCTCGTCTTGTTGCCAAAGGATATACTCAGATATTTGGACTCGATTACAGTGATACTTTCTCTCCCGTGGCTAAAATTGCATCAGTCCGCCTTTTTCTATCCATGGCTGTTGTTCGCCATTGGCCTCTCTATCAGTTGGACATTAAGAATGCTTTTCTTCACGGTGACCTTGAGGATGAGGTTTATATGGAGCAACCACCTGGTTTTGTTGCTCAGGGGGAGTCTAGTGGCCTTGTATGTCGGTTGCGCCGGTCCCTCTATGGTCTAAAGCAGTCTCCTCGAGCCTGGTTTGGTAAGTTCAGCACAGTTATTCAGGAGTTTGGCATGACTCGTAGTGAAGTTGATCACTCTGTATTTTATCGACATTCTGCTTCAAATCTCTGTATTTATCTGGTCGTTTATGTTGACGATATTGTTATTACCGGCAATGATCAGGATGGTATTAGTAAGTTGAAGCAACATCTCTTTCAGCACTTTCAGACTAAGGATCTGGGCAGATTAAAGTATTTTCTGGGTATTGAGGTCGCTCAGTCTAGCTCAGGTATTGTGATCTCACAACGGAAGTATGCCTTAGATATTCTTGAGGAGACAGGAATGACAGGTTGTAGACCTGTTGACACTCCGATGGATCCGAATTCTAAACTTCTGCCTGGACAGGGGGAGCCTCTTAGCGATCCTGCAAGATATAGGCGGTTGGTTCGTAAATTAAATTACCTCACAGTGACTAGACCTGACATTTCCTTTCCTGTGAGTGCTGTGAGTCAGTTTATGGATTCTCCCTGTGATAGTCATTGGAATGCAGTCGTCCGCATTCTTCGGTATATAAAATCAGCTCCAGGCAAAGGCTTATTGTTTGAGGATCGAGGCCATGAGCAGATCGTTGGATACTCAGATGCTGATTGGGCAGGATCACCTTCTGATAGACGTTCTACGTCTGGATATTGTGTCTTAGTAGGAGGAAATTTGGTGTCTTGGAAGAGCAAGAAACAGAATGTGGTTGCTCGATCTAGTGCAGAAGCAGAATATCGAGCAATGGCTATGGTCACATGTGAGCTAATTTGGATCAAACAGTTGCTCAAGGAGTTGAAATTTGGTGAGATTAGTCAGATGGGACTTGTGTGTGATAATCAAGTTGCTCTTCATATTGCGTCAAATCCAGTGTTCCATGAGAGAACTAAACACATCGAGATTGACTGTCACTTTGTTAGAGAAAAGATACTCTCGGGGGATATTGCTACAAAATTTGTGAAGTCGAATGATCAACTTGCTGATATTTTCACCAAGTCCCTCACTGGTCCTCGTATTAGTTATATATGTAACAAGCTTGGTACATATGATTTATATGCACCAGCTTGAGGGGGAGTGTTAGTTTCATTGTATGAATAGTAGTAAATAACCCTAATTCCATACGTATTAGGAGTAGGACATGTATTGTATATATAAGGTTCATTGTATCATTGTCAACTAATCAATAATATATTTTCTCCCGTGCATTCTCACAGGTATATAAAATCAGCCTCAGGCAAAGGATTATTGTTCGAGGATCAAGGGCATGAGCCGATCGTTGGATACTTTGATCGTTGGATACTTTGATAATGATTGGGCAGGATCACCTTCTGATAGACATTCTAAGTCCGGGTATTGTGTTTTAGTATGAGATAATTTGGTGTCTTGGAAAAGCAAGAAACATAATGCGGTTGCTTGGTACAGTGTAGAAGCAGAATATTGAGCAATGGTTATGGCAACATGTGAGCTAGTTTGGATCAAACAGTTGCTCAAGGAGTTGAAATTTGGTGAGATTAGCCCGACGAAACTTGTGTGTGGTATCAAGTTGCCCTTCATATTGCATCAACTCCGGTGTTCCACGAGAGAGCTAAACACATTGAGATTGACTGTCACTTCGTCAAAGAAAAGATACTCTCAGGAGATTGTTACAGTTTGTGAAGTCGAATAATTAGCTTGCAGATATTTTCACCAAGTCTCTCACTGGTCCTCATATTAGTTACATATGTAACAAGCTCGGTACATATGATTTGTATGCACCGGCTTGAGGGGGTGTGTTAGATAATTATGTAAATAATCCTAGTCCCACATGGAATAGGAGTAGAATATGCATTGTGTATAGTTATAAAGAGGGCTCATTGTATTATAGTTAAATCAATAATATTCTTTTCCCGTGCTAATTCTCACAGTATGCTCATAATAAAGCAGCACTCTAATTCAAAACCAGATCAACAGTTTAGCAATAGTAAAGCTAGAACATTAAGTTGAACAAAGCAACAAGATATTTCCAAAAGAAGTTTCACGTAATGTAAGCCTTCATAAAGAGCATTAAAGGGCTAAAAGTAGGTGCAAGAAGTTGCTTTTTAGTAAGACTGAACAAACTTCCTATTACTGGTCCAGCTTACTTTCACTCTATCAAACATTCAATAGTCAACATAGCCTAAACTAAAGTAATCTCAACTAAAGATCATCTGTGGTTTCAAAGAGTGATGAAAGTCTTACCCCAATGCTTCGAATGGTCCATAAACTCACGGCCATCAGAAGCCCTACTCCACTTTTGTTGAATGCAAGAGACTCTTCAAATATGATGCCCATATATCCTAATCCAAACAACAACGCCATGGCAATATCCTGAAGCATGACAATTGATCAACCAAACGAAATTTCGGTAGGATAATTCATTAGTATGCCTTGAAATAAGATAATCAGGCTCCTGTTAAAACACCTGATTTGCAGCCACCCAAGATTGATTTATTGCTACTGTACCAGTGACGGCCGCGGCAAGAACTGCAAAGGCCTTCAGTAAATCTGTCTTTGGCTGGTAAGTAGCTTCAAATTCTTGTGAGCTCGTTTCATCAACTGAACATAAAGGATCACATGTTCCTGATGAAGTTGTTAGTTCCTGAAGCAAACCTAACACTTAGTAAAGTGAAAGTACAAGCCACTGCACTTTTCTTTAGTTGTCTTTTGTCTTCTTTTGCTATAATAATTAGAGATGGAACTACTATTCACACCACTGACTGATGGATAAATGCAAATATACTGTCAGAAGAACAGAGTACAGTTACAGGCCGTCCATCCATATTATAGAAGTGAACCTGAGACAACTTACTCTCACAGTGAATCTTAATGGCTATTAAAGTTCATGAAATGCATGAGGTCCTCTCCAAAAGTAATTTACTGTTATATATATATATATATATATATATATATATATATATATATATATATATCCCCTAACAACTTACTCACTCTTGAGGCCTCAACCTTAACTGCTGTTAAGTTCATCAAATGCATAAGGTCCTGAGACCTAAAGTTCTATTATGCTAGTAATATACTAATCCATTCTCTAAATTACAAGCAGTTGTGGAAACTATAATCAAGTTATTGACTAAGAAAGGAGAAATATATGATAAGGAATTAGGCTACATACTTAAAATTAGAAAAATACATAACTCGATGAGATGGAGACTAACACATGTATGACATATCAATAATCAGATAAGAAAAGCAAAAAGGAGCTTGCATTCCTAACTTAGCATAATATTAACCCTTGTAAAATCCATCTGGTTCCAAAGAAACCATCAGAGTATTTCCAAGAATCTAGCCAAACTGCTACATTATCAACAACAATCTATCAGAAAATCAATTAAGCCTCAATCTCAATCTTGTTGGAATCAACTGTATGATTCATCTGGAATCATTTCCCCAATTCAACCGAACTTCGTCACGATACTTGATAAGGATTCTCCAAAAATATGAATCAACTACGTCTTGATCCTGAACTAGTTAAGACTTGGCTATATGAATCAACTACAATCATTCCCCTCCAGTCAATCCCATTTCATCCAATATAAAATAATGGATTCTCCATGACTATCCAATATAAAATAATCGCTTCTCCAAGACTAGAAATTAAGTTTTTCCCTACAACTAAAGGTTCTATATACAACTCGACTATGCCTTAATCTCAAACTGGATGAACGTTAATGAGTTAAATGAACCCTCTTTAACTATTTTGCTTTATTCAGTCCCATTTCATTCCAATACTAAATAATGGGTTCTCTAAAATTGGAGGTTCTCTATATGAATCAATTATCTCATTCCCAAACTATGCGGGATTGACTATACGAGTCCTTCCTAAACATTTTGTAATATACATATTCAGCTCCATTTCATTCCAATACTAAATAATGGATTCTCTAAAACTAGAGGTGTTTTATATGAATCAACTAGCCTTGATTATACACTAGTTGTAGTCAGATATATGAATTTTCTGTAACCGTTCTACTTTATTCAATCTCATTTCATTCCAATACTAAATAATGGGTTAAGACAAGAGGTTCTCTGTACAAACCACCTATGCCTCTATCCACACTGTTTAGGGTCGACTATATGAATTCTCTGTGAATCATTCTGCTCTATTCAACTTCATTTCATTCCAATTCTAAATAATGGGTGCCTTAAAAATTAAATTTTCTCTACATGCACCTTAATCACTAAACTAATTGGGATATACTGCATTAATCCTTTATAACCATTCTGCTCTATTCAACCCCATTTCACTCCAACACTAGATATGGTCCTTAAGCATCATTATCCATAAACATAAAGGAAATTAAGGAATTTAATCCAACGAATTCATCAGTATACAAAATAATGAACTGATAAAATCAGGCAGCGAACTAAACCTCATTTTCTCTGGCTTTGTCTTCGGCTTTGGCGAGGACGCAATAGCGGTATCTGGGTCCATCACTGAATCTTGAAAAGCTAGTCTGAGGCAAAAGGGATGGAGCAGGAGAGGTTCTAATTGGGGGGTTCTTGAAATGAGTGTGAGAAGGGAAAATACAGTGGCTTTTGATTGGGAGAAACGTAGACATTAGTGGATGCCGGAGAGAAGTGGAGGCTCCGATAATCAGACAATGTAATCTCGACAACTGCAAACTGCATGTATAAAATTATCCTTAACAATATTCCTTTTCTTTTTTCCACTATATCCTTTAACAAAAATTAAAATTACATTAGGGAATTCAATTATTAATGAAAACTAGAAAATATGTATAATATACTTGAATCTTATGGTCATAAATATGTCATGTTGGTTATTGGAGTTAATGAGTTTATTAATTATAGAATGAATCATTTTTTTTAAAAATAGATTAAAAGGAAAGTAAGATACATTAATTGAAATGGAAGGAGTATTATATTTTTAGAAATTTTACATGCTATAGCTAAATAATGCACCCTAGTTATTATAAACCAAAATACTTTAAAAATATTATTATTCATAGCCACTTTTTACATTTTATAGCAACGTACAAATATATACAACTGATCCGTTAACTTTTCCCTCAACCCCTCTCTCTTTTCTCCCTCAACTCTCTCCCCTTTCCCTCTCTCTTCGTCATCGACAAGTGGATCCTCCATCTCTGTTATGTACAAGCAAGAATAAACCTCTGTGAGTTTGTTATCTTCGAGATCTCAAACCCTATGGTTTAGACTTACAAGAGAAACGCACTGAATATTTTGTATAACATCTACAATAGGAAATTTGCAAAAGAACCTGTTCGATACTGAGAGAACCGAACCGATCCAGCTGTTTTGGAGGGTTTGGGTCAAAGTTTGAGGCCGATTTAATGAAGGCATAATCATGAGTGATTCGTACTACCTTCTCTCATTTTCACTGTCAGATCCAGATCTGAAAATTACGAAGTCGCGATGAGTCCATTACCGGCGATGAAAATAATGGAGGAGGAAGATTGAAGGCATCACCATATCTGGATCTACCAGAGATGCTAGAATCTATGGCTTCTTCTCCTTCTTTGTATCTCACATCTGAGTGTATTCGTCTGACCGTATTTTGGTAGATACAACGTGATAGTGTATTCTCAGATCTGGCCGGATTTTTGTTCATCTCAATTTTTAGTTTTGATACAATATATACATTATTTTGCTTGACCGGAAGACGCCATCCCTGGCGAACTTTCTTCTCTTCTTTGCTATTGAGTCACATACAATGATACAAATACTCTGTGTTCTGTACATGTACACTCAAATTTGAGTGTATTATGTATTTTTCAATGCAAATATAGTTTTTTTTTATTTTTTGGATTTTCGTCTGTATTTATATATTTTGAAGGTTATTTATCATGGCAGATTCTTGTATTTTTGAATTTTTTTTGTTTGAATACAATCGAATTAAATACAGTGTAAAAGCAACTATGAATGAATAATGTGAATTCAATACAGCCGAATATCACTGTTTTTGTTAGTTTTTTGTCGTATACGCAAAGAATTGATAACTTGAAGATGCATGTTGGTTATAAACCTCCTAAGTTGAAAAATTTGACGGCAAGGGAAATCCGAAATAACATGTAACACACTTTGTTAAAACTTTCAACAATGCTGGAATGTATGGCGATTATCTTGTCAAACAATTTGTTCGATATCTCAAAGGTAATGCATTCGATTGGTACATAGATATCGAATCTGGTTCCAGCAATAGTTGTGAGCAGTTGGAGCAAGAGTTTCTCAATCGTTTATATAGCACAAGATACATCATAAGCATGATCGAACTTACAAATGCTCATCAAAGAAAGAATGAGCCAGCTATTGACTTCATCAACCGCTGGAGGAGGTTAAGCCTCAACTGCAAAGATCACCCTAGTTAAACTTCTAGCATCAAAATGTTCATTCAAGGCATGCATTAGGGTCTTCGCTATATCTTACAAGGCATAACGCCCAAAACATTTGAAGAACTAGCAACCCGTGCTCATGATATGGAACTAAGTGTGGCCATAAGTGGAGACTAAGGGTCAGCTGTCTTTAAGCCTTACGACAAAGAAGAAGAATTGGAAGGCGAGGATGGGGGCAAGTTTTCATCCGAAAATGAGATCGAAGAGTTTATGCATGTCACTATGATCCTCAACGCACGATTCTAAAATGCAAGTCCCTATGTTCCTCAACGCATGAGCCTAAACTGCAAGTTATAATGCTTCTTGTAACATGAGCCTATATTGTATGTCATGAAGCTCCCCAAATTAGAACTAAATCTTCAAGACGTAAAGATCTTCAAATTCGAGCAAAGTCTTCCAGTTGTAAAGCTCTTCAAATTCGAGCAAAGTCTTCAAGTTGCAAATCTCTTTAAATTCGAGCAAAGACTCAAGTCAAAATCTATTCAAAGTCGAGCAAAGACTTCAAGTCGCAGAGCTCTACAAATTCGAGTCAAACTTCAAGTTGTAAAGCTCTCCAACTTTGAGCTAAATCTTGAAGGCGCGAAGCTCTTCAAATTCGAGCCGAACTTCAAGTTGCAAAGCTCTTCAAAATTGAGCAAGTCTTCAAGTTGCGAAGCATTTCGAAACTTAAGCCCTCAAGTTCCCCGGTCTTCAAGTTGAATTATGTAAGCCCTCCAAATCTTCAAGTATGTCTCTCTTCAAGTTGAATTTTGCAAGTCCTCCAAGTCTTCAAAGTGTTCAAGTTGAAGCCAACAAGTCCACCAAGTCTTCAAGTTGGGCTTTCTAATTTTACAATCATAAGGTGGATATTAAGTCCCTTCGCATCTTAAGTTGGCCTCTTCGTGGGGTTGTCCTAAAAAAGAGCTGTAATTTGCCAATCTTAAGGTGAACGTTTAAGTCCTTTGCACCTTAAGTTGGCCTCCTCGTGGGTTTGTCCTTAAAATGAGTTATAATTTTCCAGTATTAAGGTAGACGTTTCAGTCCCTTTGAACCTTAAGTTGGTCTCATCATGGATTTGTCCTTAAAAGGTCTATCATTTTTCAGTCTTAAGGTGGACATTTAAGCCCCTTTGCACCTTAAGCTGGTTTCGTCGTAGATTTTGGGCGGGGATGAGTATCCTTCCCTTCACACCCTAAGATTACCCCTCTGGTTTTTGGGCGGGGATGAGTATCCTCCCCTTCATACCCTAAGATTACATTGCAGCTGGGGATGAGTATCCATCCCTTCACACTTTAAGATCAACCCTCCAGTTTTTGGGCGGGGATGAGTATCCATTCCTTCACACCCTAAGTTACTCCTCCGGTTTTCGAGCGGGGAGGAGTATCTATCCATTAACACCCTAATTTATGTGTCACGACCCAACTCCAACTGAAGCCACAACGGCACCTAACACTACTTGCTAGGCAAGACAACAGTAACACAACAACTAAAAATTTGATAAAATATGGTTTAATAAATTCAACAATGAAAATATCATAAATATCTAATGAAAACAATAACAATACTGCTACAACTATCCCAACAATTTGGTGTCAACGAGTACATGAGGACTACCGAATAATAAAATACAAATCAAATCCTCAATATAACTGTCTGGACAATAGAACAATAATAAAGGAAATAAAGGAAAGAGAGTCAAGGTCCGCGAATGATATAACAGCTACCTCGAAGTCTCCCAGGTACTGGTACCAACACGGCTCTAGCAATCACCACGTTCAAAAGTATCTGGATATGCACACGAAGTGTAGAGGAAGTATTAGTACATCTGACTCTATGTACTCAATAAGTAACAAATCTAATCTTGGGCTGAAAGCAATGACGAGCTTAGAAGAAACAGTCAGAGACTAATATCAATAACCAATAACAATTCAGAATAAAATGATGAAAGTGACAATAAATAACTCAAAGGAATTATCATATTCAACTTGTTCACATCATAGGAGTTTAGATATGATTCCAAGTTTAATAGTTAAAGCTCAATATGGATAAGAACATTTCATTTACCAACTAGCATGAGGAAACTACATCTCTATGCCTACATATCAAATATGCATGTCAAGTGAATGATTTCACGGCGATATCCCCAAGTGCTCTCACTCTCAACATACTCAAGGTGTCTGTCTCAAATGCCCATTTCATCACACACACACACAAAATCAATCAGCATTGTATGGGTGCCTGGCATCAATGCCCCTCACCAAAGCACATGTATATATCACTCTGACTGCACTCACTGCTGGCATGTCAGACTCCGGAGAGACGAATCCTGCCCAAGCACTAATCAAAAGACAATATAGCCTGTTGCGATGTGCAGCCCGATCTAAATAATAATAAAGTCAATATGGCCTACTGCTGCGTGCATCCCGATCCAAATAACACTCTCAACACGGCTCTAAGGCCTTTCTCTGTCATCAACCTCTCAAGTCTCAAGGTCTCACAATATCATATCACTCAGCCCAAACAATATCACATATGGAAAACAACAACAACATATGATGTAACAATGAATAATGTACAAAGACTGAGATATGATATGCAAATGAAGAATCATGACTGAGTGTAAAACCACAGTTAAGTCAGATAGCTCAAAACAACAGAAATAGCTTCATTAACTCTCAACCAAATAAACACGTAGCCTCAACATGATTTCTAACTTGAATTATAGCTCAGATAATCCAACAAGTAGGGAAAACACTGATAAAATAAGGTATGATAGCAACATAGTCTAAAAGTCAACTCAGATCATGATTACTCCGGTTCACGCCCACACGCCCATTACCTAGTATGTGCGTCACTCCAATACATCACATATAGCATGGTTCCCCGGGATAATTACTCTCAAATCCAAGTTTAGATATGTTACTTACCACAAAACGTGCAGTTCAATACTCCAAAAGGCCCTTGCCACACGAATTGGCCTCTGAGTGACTCGAATCTAGCCAAAACAACTTAATATCGTCAATAAAAAACATCGAAAATAATTCCAAATGATAAAGCTAAGGTCTTGAATCAAATACGCAAAGTCAACCCCGAGCCCGCATATGGGGACCCGACAAAATTCATAAATTCCGAACACCCATTCAATTACGAGTTCAACCATACCAAATTCATCCAACTCTATCTTGACCCTTAAATTACCAAATCTCACTCTCCAATAACAACATAGTCTAAAATCCCAAAATTTCACTTCAAATTCACATAAACTAGGTGTAATAATCATTAGGTAATCA